TTTTTTTTTTTTTTGAACATTTTGTATAGATAAGTGTCGGGTTTTTGTTTATGATACTAATAACTAACATATTTTGTGTACAAAAAATATTTCTTTATTTATGGTCATAAAACTTTAAGTGTGAAATTTATGAATAAGTAAAATTTATGGGTAATTAAAAATTAAGTGAATTTACTCAAATAGCTTAAGCCTATTTTTGTGTACTATGATTTTCTTACTCTTATCGATTAATTCTATATTTTCTACATTATATGGAGTTAAAGAATAATTATTTTTCTTATCAATATTTACTACTCTATAGGGCCCTTTGTATCTATCATCTAACTTATGACCTGCTTCATTTTTAACTAATACTAAATCTCCTAATTTTATTTCCTTATATTGAAGATTTTTATCATAATAAACCTTTTGTCTCTCCTTAGCTTCTTTTACCAATATGTGAGCTCTTTGTTGAGCTACTTGTAATCTATATTTTATTTCTTTCTCATAGGCCTCATAGTTATAAACTGGGCTAATTGTATTTTCTTTTAAAAATTCGTAAGTCAGAGGTATTTTTCCAAAAACTAACTCGTATGGGCAATAACCATGAACCGTAGATGGTGTTGTATTGTAACAGTATGCAAAATACTTGATATACTCATCCCAATCATCTTTGTTAATGGATATGTAAGAACGAATGTATTCATTAAAAGTTCTGTGGCTACGTTCAACGGTGCCCAAAGTTTGATGGTGATATGGGGTAGAAGTCTTGTGTTCAATTTTTAAAAGTTTACACAATTCCTCAAATACGTTGTTTTTGTATTCGGTCCCCATATCAGTTATGATGGTCTTCATACAACCATATACCAAAATAAAGTTTTCAAAAATGGCTTTTGCCACCGTTTTCGCGTGTTTGCTCGCAATTGGAATTGCTATCAGATACTTTGTCAGATCACACACTATGGTAACCGCATACTCATTTCCACATACCGATACGGGCAACGGTCCAATTGTATCAATTTGCACCGTATCGAAGGCTTTTG